CATTTATTTTTTCAGGTGGAAGGATTAGTGGATGATTTAGTTCTAGTATGATCTAACATTTATAAGTATCTGCTCTGCGTTAAACTATGAAGCACGTCTAGAAATTAAAATGGTCTTTCAATGTATTATGTGGTGCTGAATTAAATCAGACAAATTTTGTCTTTCTATTTGATAATTTATTTCTTTTATACAAATGTGTGTGAAAATTTTGTAATATAATCTCTTATCTAATTTTAGCATTCAAGACGCTAATATTACCTTAAAAATAATGCAACCCGTGCATTGCACTTGCACATGGCAAAAACTAGTTTTAGAAAAAAAGAAAAAGAAATATTTCCAAGTTCCCATCCGATTCAATTAAATTGAATTTTTAATAAATTTTGATAAAAGTTGATAAAATGTAATGTTGAAAATTTTGTGTTCCGTAAATATATGATTAAAATTAATTATTAATTTTTACTTAAAATTTAATTAGCTTTTTTTTGACTGAATCAAACAAGGTTAAGTAGATTTAAATTATTTTAAAGCTTAAACAAAGATGGGCATAAGAATTATTATTGCCTTCTCCCCTGTCTCCTAATGAAAAACCACGACATGGTTTAATTATATTGTTTAAGAAAGCAACCGGAATAATTGTTCTGTACTAATTTATTACAAAATTGTCTACCCATTATACGATGCAGTATTTTATGCATAAATTGATGCATACAGATACAATATACAGAACAAAAGGTACAGTTCACAAAGTGCCAAATAAACTTTTTAGAGGGTACCCAAATCAAAGACAAAGGCATCTATTGTGTTTTCAAGAATCATCAATTTGCTTAGCTTTCTATTTTAATTCTCCCAAATTGTGAATTTGAGCCTCCTACAATGGAAAAAACCCCTGATAAAATATCTTCTGCTGCTGAGAAAAATGCGGTTTTGAACCTTAAAGAAACCGAGCTGAGGCTGGGTTTGCCGGGTTCAGAATTTCTGGACAAGAAGGCAACTGGGTTTTCTCTTTTTGGGAAAGATTTGAAGGATGAGACTAATAAGAACATATTTTCAGGTGCTAAGAGGGTTTTTTCTGATGCCATTGATGGTTCTAATAAATGGGGTTTGTGTATTAACGGTGGATCTGAGGTTGATTTGGGGAAAAATGATGTTTTGTTTTCTCCGAGAGGAGCAAATGGTGGAGTGAAAAATACTAATATTTTGCAATCTTCTCATCCTGCAAAGGAGGTTCCTCCACAGCCTGCTAAGGGCAAGAAAAATGAAAATGGTGGTCCAAGCACTACCCCAGCTTCAAAGTGAGTTTTTTAGTTTCTTTGGGACTTTATCTATATTCTTGAGCTCTACGTACTTTTGAACTACTTCGTCTGAAAATTTAAGCTTTTGGATGATTTGGTTTAACCTGGTATATCTATGAATTGCGCATGTATTGGCCCTTCGATGAGAAGTGTGTACGTGAGGAGATATAATTTAAAGGTTTGAGATGGTTTAACTAGTACTTGTTTTTAACAGCACTTAGTTTTTCAGCCAAAACTGGAAATATTTGAATCCAAGATTCATCTGTTCACTCCAATCTTGAGAAATAAGTATTGTAATTGATTGTGTATGTGTTGTACAAAACAAACCTGACAGTTTTGGGAATGCTCTGGTTGTCTTTGGCATGTACACACCCTTTGAATTTAAGTTTTCTTGAACCAAATTCTTGTTTTCCTATTCATCTCGGCTATGTTTTAAAGATATTATATCTTCCGGAGTCTTGGAGAATGTTTCTTCTGTTCATCGCGATACACGAAAAACAGGATGAGCCCAAAGATCTATGAACTAGCTCAGGCTTGACTAGCCAAGCAGAGATGCTTTTACTCTTTCACTTATTTCTTTTATGTATATTTCACATTTACAATGAAATTTGAAGATTAACCCACTGTTTGTTATTTAACACAAAAACATCCTGCCTGATTCACTAATTCGTGAGCTGTTTTATGTTTTGCAACAGGGCACAAGTGGTGGGTTGGCCACCTATTCGATCTTTCCATAAGAACAAACTCAACACTAATTTATCGAGAAATAATGATGTTGCCGCGGGAAAATCAGAATCAAGCTGCCTTTACGTTAAGGTCAGCATGGATGGAGCTCCATACTTGAGGAAGGTGGATCTTAAAACCTACTGCAGCTATGCAGAACTTTCATCTGCACTCGAGAAGATGTTTAGCTGCTTTACCATTGGTACTCTTTCTCTCTCTGTGCATGTAAATTGCATAGGAATATTAACTCGTCAAGTTATAGAATCTCTTAAATTTTTCTAGAAGCTGGCATGCTGTGAGATTACCCAAAAAGTCCGAAGCCCCACTTGTTGCTTCCTTTTATCAGGAGCTAGAATTAGAAATGCAGGGCAGGGCTGGTTTTTATAGTCGGATGTATCTGAACAAGCATGATAATTCTGTCATATTTGTGAATTATAGTTAAGATTGCAACTTTGCAAGTATTTTTCCCCATGTTGTCTTGTCGGACATCATTTAATTTCCATTTCTCGTGTGGCTGCAATTCAGGGCAATACGCTTCTCATGGACTTCGAGGGAAAGAAGAAGTTAATGAGTGTCATCTAATGGATCTTCTCGACCGCTCTGAATACGTACTCACATACGAAGACAAGGATGGTGACTGGATGCTTGTTGGTGATGTTCCATGGGCGTAAGTTGTAGTTCCGTATAGCCTGCAATACATATTCTGTTCAAAATTGAAGGAAAATCTTTTTGTTAAATGCACTTCCTAATTAAAATACTTCTACGCTTTGAGTTTTTCACCGGGTTTGAAATCCAAAATGCGAAACGCATATTGTAGGTATTGCAATTATACTTGATCACTTCAAGTCATTGCACATAGCATAGACGATTAACTTGCTAATTTTGTTTCTAGATTTGAATTTCCGTGTGAATGAGGAAGTACTATTGACCCAGTTTTGACTGTCCAGGATGTTCACTGATTTGTGCAAGCGATTGAGGATCATGAAAGGCTCAGAGGCAAGTGGGTTAGGTATGGATCATAATTTTTTTGTTTTTCATTATTCGACTCCCAATTCAAATATTTCCACAAGATTGTAAGATGTTGCCTTGTGTGTTCGTGGTTTCTTGTGCAGCTCCAAGGGTAATCGCAAAGTGCAAGAGCCAACACTAGGGCAGCAAAGAGTAGCGAAAGAATGGCTATTTGCAGAAATCTGAAAAGTGGAATGGCTATTTGCAGAAATCTGAATAGTGTTTCAATATCTTACATGTTTGAAATTTAGTAGATATGTAAAATAGCATGTATGGAAGTGCTTGCAGATTGCTGATTGCCACAGTTCTTGTGAATAATCAAAATCCCAGTTATTGCTTTATTATGAACACTAACATACGTACTCAGGAACTGTTGTTTCAGCTTGATCTATGCCCTAAATTGACACGACATGATTAAACGTGGCTCATGCATCCATTTGGGGGAACTTTTATTTTTGCTTCTTTTTGTCTGTAAGAGTTTATTGAGGAAGTTACCTTTGGTCAATTTCTTCTAAGTAAAGCACTTTCAGAAATTATCCAACTATGTCTAAAAGTAATTTTTTAGTCTTAGAAATAATTTTGACCATTCAAAAGTTTTGTCAACAAGACCTAAGTTCATTGTATTACTGAATTTTATTTGATATAGCGTACGAAATATGTCTGTGCGACAAAACATTGGGTAGTATCGAACAAAATTTTAGTGCATTTTCTTCCTTTTATTGTATGATACCTACTCCAAACATGCTGTAAAGGTGTAGGTAATAATGCTACTTGTGCATATTGACTTACAAACAGATGATGTGTCACATAGAGATGAGTTTCTTTTTTTGGAAAAACTTTGATCCAATCATATGTCATAACATCTTGTTTATGTAAATCATTATATAAACTATTATATTCACGTAACACAACCACTTATTCATACTCCTTTTATGTGATATTTGCCCATATCAATTTCTAATCAACAAAATTGAATAAAGCATACAATTTATTAAAGTTGTCCAAAAGTTCAATAAACCTCATAAATTATTGAATGAATGAAAATAATAGATATTACAATCAAAATAAAAATAAACTGCAACTATATGATCTCTCTTTCCCGCTCGATTTGGCCCATTATTAGTTTTACTGGAAAAACCAGAATAACTATGTTAATTCAGGTCTACTCGTTCCTCTCGTAACATATTTTACAGAAATGAAAATTATATGTGATGATAACTAACAAGTTCTCTCAAATTAAACAGGGAGAGTGATTAAAAATTGTTTCTAACGACCACTGGTAAACAGCTATTAGAAGAGCGTATTTAGACAACATCGAAAATACATGCACTGGCAACCTTAAAAAGTAGATTTGCCTGAATTCAACAGAATTACGATTCCGGTTCAGATACTTGAAGGTATACTATTTGAGTGTATCCATGAAATACAGAAGTCTGAAGTGTTGATAAACCAAGCCTCCAAAATAAGCCATATCTACCATCTTCAACAATAGGACTAGGGGCACGTCCTCAAAGACGAGATGCTTGAACCCAGCTTTCAGTGCTTGCTTTAATCTACGCAATAAAAGTGTGAATCAAGATATAAAGAACATTTGGAATTTAGATAAGTGGAACAAGCTGAAAGATTCATGAATACTATATAATAATAGCTGGATTGCATTGAAACACTGCTCTAACTGGTCAATGAAGGATGATTAACTTTTTGTGAATTGAAAACCATAATTACCTTTTGAGTTCGTCCTGATGGTCATCAAAGAAGACAAGAGCCCGACTGAGGTCATTAATCCCATGTTTCTTCATTGCTCTTCCCCAATTCATGCTTCCAAAATCCACAAAGCCCTTCCCAGCAAAGCGCTGGGTATTCCCTCACGTGAGGGAGCCCATTTGATTTGGTAAGTGGGCCTTTAGTTCTTAGACCCAAAACCAATATAAAAGCAAGTTGGAGACCAATCAACATATATTCACACATACACAATACAGGAGAGAGAGAGAGAGAGAGAGAGAGAGAGAGAGAG